GGAGCTCGCAGAGAAAGGGATAGTGAAGAGAAAGAAAATACACAGAGCCCATACAAATAAAAGCAAATGCAGTAAATGGGCACGAGGAATGCTTCTGGGGTGATGGAAATGTTTTCAAATTAGATTATAGTGATGGTTGCACAACTCTGTAAATTTCCTTTGAAAATCATTGAACTGCGTATGTGTGTTTTAAAGTAAATGTAGAATCAAAAACAGGGAAGGAGAACTTAAAATGTTTGTAAAAGCATTCTTACTAGGTTCACCGGCACTGCCCCATAGAAGTGTAAAGTCAGGGAAGCAGGATGGAGCAGGAAGCACCCTGAGGAGGAGAACAAAGGCACTCACCTCTCCATCTCTTTAATGCTTGTTGACAGTGCCAATACGAGGAATTCCAGAGGAGATGATAATTCATAGGGATCATCCAGGTGTAATTTAGTGCCCTTCCCCACAGTATTTAGACTCTCTATATGAACTCATTAAAATCAGTAATAGTGTCCTACTCAGGGGAACCAAATACCAAACAACACCCAGCAGAGGACATTAGTATGAGATGTTCACATACCTTCTCTTATAGTCCTATTAAGGTAGGTCATGTTGTCCTCTCTTTCATTCCAGAGTTTAGTAATTTGAGTCTTCTTTTATTTTTTTTTCTTGGTCTCCCCTAATTAAAAGTTTGTCAACTTTGTTGATCCTCCCAAAGAACCAACTTTTGATTTCATTGATTTCTGCTCGTTCTTTATTATGTCTTTCTCTCTATTTGCTTTTGGGTTTAGTTTGTTCTTCTTTTTCTAGTTTCTTAAAGTGGAAAGCTGAGATACTGACTTGAGAAAGTTCTTCTCTATTATGGGCATTTTCATCTATAAATTTCCCTCTAAGCACTGCTTTAGCTGCATCCCAAAAGGACTGGTGTAACGTTTTTGTCACATACCTTCCCCAGCTTGTTTTCCTTGAACTTTATTCCAATCCTCATAAAGCACACTACGGCAGCATTTCTTATGGTTTTTTTTTCTTTGAAATGTATAGTCATTATTAGGTTTTTACTTTTCTAGAATTGTTTCTTGCCTTTCTTTGTTTCTAGAATGTCTTTACTTTCTTTCACTTTTTATTTTTTATGTTCATTCACTCTTTTTTCCTCTGCATGCTATTGATTATTTTGCAACAACATGGAGAAATAGCAGTGAAGAATAGGCAGGAAATAAGAGGCAGTCACTGAAAGGTGGAAAAAGAGAGAGAGAAAATTAGGTAATTATTAAAAATTGATGCTATCTTAAAGAAAATAATTATTAAAGCATAATTTAAAAGAGCTATCAGTTTTAGTTCTTTCTAACCAAACAAGAGAAAAATTAGCAAACACTCTACAATTTTTCTTGCATATTTTGTAAGTGTGAGATTGACACACCCAGCGAAGATAGGTTCAAGGGGTGGTTTAGTTGGTTGGGTTTGTAGATATCTAAAAAGAAGCTATTATGATGAAAACACAGATGGCTTGTTTTCCATCTGAGATTACTCATGCAAATGGGTAGATAAGAATTCTTGAGGCCTGGCTTGGTGGCTTACACCTGTAATCCAAGCACTTTCGGAGGCTGAGGTGGGAGGATTGCTTGATCTCAGGAATCTGAGACCAGCGTGGGCAACATGGTGAAAACTTGTCTCTACAAAAAATGCAAAAATTAGCCAGGGCCGGGCACAGTGGCTCACGCCTATAATCTCAGCACTTTGGGAGGCCGAGTTAGGCAGATCACTTGGGGTCAGGAGTTCGAGACCAGCCTGGTCAACATGATGAAACCTCATCTCTACTAAAATACAAAAATTAGCTGGTTATGATGGTATGTGCCTGTAATCCCAGCTACTCAGGAGGCTGAGGCAGGAGAATCACTTGAACCCGGGAGGCAAAGGTTGCAGCGAGCCAAGATCATGCTGCTGTATTCCAGCCTGGGCAATAGAGTGAGACACTGTAAAAAAAAAAAAAAAAATTATCCAGGCATTGTGGCACATGCCTCTGGTCCCAGCTACTAGGGAGGCTGACGTGGGAGGATTGCTTGAGTCCAGGAGGTTGAGGCTGCAGTGACAGTGAGTTGCAATCATGCCACTGCACTCCAACCTGGGCAACAGAGCAAGATCCTGTCTCAAAAAAAAAAAAAAAAAAAAAAATTCTAGAATCTATTGTCTAAAAGAAAAAGAGAGGACTAAAAAATAAAATGACCATTTGCCCTGAAAGTTCTTGGGCTCAAGTCAGTTGGTTAAGAAACTCATTAAGCAACTTTCTAAGACTTCCAACTCAATGAAGCAATGATATATTGGAAACAGACAGTCCCTAGACTGTTAAGGGCTTTAGAAAGCTAACCAATACCTAGGATTCTCAGAAGAAAGCAGCCTGCTAGGGCCCTAGTTGGGGTTGAGAATTCAAAAGGATTGCTATGCATGTAAAGTAAATGGATGAGAGTTGGTATCCTGTAGACTGGGTTGGCCCATTAGTTTACCTCTGGCAGGGACGACGGTAAAGCCCCAAGGGGGAGCTCACAAGAGAGCGCCAGACAGTCATCCGAAACACAAGAATTTAGCTTCTTGTTTTGAAGATTTCTGGAATCCTTATAAACAATGTAATATTATGGACTTCCAGTTGAGAAGGGGGGCACACTCTAGAGTTTTGGGAAAATTAAGAAAGATGCATGATGATGGGTATGCTAAAAGCCAAGACTTCACCACTACACAATATATCCATGTAACAAAACTAAACTAAACTTTTACCCACTAAATCTATTTTAAAATAATGTATATCAGTATCATTTTTGTTTCTTATCATTTTTATTCCTCCCTTCTCTAGCTAGTCCATTAACAGACCGAGATGGCCTTAAACAGTGTTTCCCAAAGCATGGTTCATATACCGCTGATGGCACATGAGATGGTTTTTGTTTTGGTTTTGGTTTGTTTTTTTCTTTGAGGCAGAGTCTCACTCTTGTTGCCCAGGCTGGAGTGCAATGGCATGATCTCGGCTCACTGCAACCTCCACCTCCCACGTTCAAGCAATTCACCTGCCTCATCCTCCTGAGTAGCTGGGATTACAGGTGCCCACCACCACGCCCAGCTAATTTTTGTACTTTTAGTAGAGATGGGGTTTTGTCATGTTGGCCAGGCTGGTCTCGAACTCCTGATCTCATGTGATCCACTCACCTTGGCCTCCCATAATGCTGGGATTACAGGCATGAGCCACTGCGCCCCACCTGAAATGGCTTTATGTGGTACAAGAAGGTTTTACTTGTATAGTTAGTTATTTTAAGAGAAGCAGAAACAATATATTGAAACATATCAACCTGTGAATTTACAGATATAAAATTTAAATAAATAACTTTATGCAAAAAAAAATAAAAGAGAGAGAGAAAAAGAAAGATGTCCATGAATCTGGGAGGAAAGAGAACAATTTCTTCCTACTTTGAGATATGAAAGTAAGACGTTCAGGGTTTGGAGACTGTGTTATATCATGGGGGAGAAAGGAAAGTTGGGGACATGAAGACACCTAAACTCACAGCATCACTAGGAAAATACGAAAAAACAAAGACACAGTTCAGACTCAGAGCCAGGATAAATGCAGGAGTGAATATTTACTTTTTTTTTTTTTTTTTTTTTTTGATACGGAGTCTGGCTTTGTCGCCCAGGCTGGAGTGCAGTGGCGTGATCTCTGCTCACTGCAACCTCTGTCTCCCAGGTTCAAGCAGTTCTCCTGCCTCAGTCTCCCAAGTAGCTGGGATTATATGCATGCACCACCACACCCTGCTAATTTTTTGTATTTTAATAGAGACGGGGTTTCACCATGTTGCGCAGGTTGGTCTCAAACTCCTTGCTCAGACGATCTGCCCACCTCAGCCTCCCAAAGTGCTGGCATTACAGGTGTGAGCTACCACACCCGGCATCATTATCATTTTTATGGACTCATTTCTTAACATTCATGAGAGAAAACAAGTTTCCTTGAGATCAAGATTTCTCAGCTTCAGCTCTATCAGTACCAGAGGCTAGGTAACTCTTCGTTAATGATGTCTGGTGCACTGTAGGATCTTTAGCAGCATCCATGACTTTGACACACTAAATGCTAATTTCATTTCCCAAGTTGTGATAGCCAAAAACACCTCCAGATGTTGCCAAGTGTCCCCAGTCCTCTGGAGGGGTATGGGGGAAAGCCGGCAAAACTACCACTGGTTGATAACTACTTTAGATAAACTATTTCAAATAATAATCATTTTGAGACTAATCTGAACTATTTGACATCATCAAATGCAGTAAAACAAACAAGCAAACAAAAAAAAGGGAAAAGAAGAAATATTCACAAAATTAACCACCTTCTGTCTTCCATAGACACTACAAGTTTCAGGTAAACTTTGAAGTCATTAACATTAGCTTATATCCAGGAAGGTTAAAAAAAAAGATTAAAAATCAAAATAATATTTAAATTTTAAAAACTCTTTTCAATTGTGTTTCTTTTAAACTAGGTAGGTAACATTGTTTATTTAACAAAATTACCAGATCATTAGTTTTCATTTCTCTAATATATGACTAGTCTTTGTAACCTAATGCACACATGAATATCCTTTTTGCCTCATTTCAAGTGTATTACAATCTGGTAAGTGAAATCTGATTAAACTATGTTACTTTCATGAAAAAATTCTTATAAAGTCAACAAGCAAAGGAAAAATTAGTACAGATTCTATATATACATACAAAATAAATTTCTGGCAAAAACAATTTCACGCCTATGTTCTATGCAACTATAAAATCTGTACATAGGGAGAGATAAATTTATTATTTAAAAATACTACCTATACTAGTTGAAGAAATATGCACAAACACTAGAAGGAATTTTTTTCACACATTCAAAAAGTTAAGATCAATGAGTTCCATGCCACTGCTCACAAAGAGGTCAATACTATCATGAAGAGAGTTTGACGTGTCCATGTTAACATGACACTGTTTCTTTAACTCCTTACAAGACCACCAGATCTTGCTCTCACCTGATTTATCTGTAGAATCTTCAAATTCCACAAGGAAAGAGTACCCGTTATTCCAGATGTGGAGGCAGGTGGCTGGGTCATAAGAGATGGTGAGTGGTTTTAAGCCAGGATCATAAACACTGTCCCTCCACCGGATGTTGATGGGTGACTGTCGATCACCCGCAGGAACCAGGTCCGTGCTCTCCCACAGTGGATGCACTAGGAGAAAGCAGGTCAGGCTTTTATCAAGACTGTTGGACCAGGCAACATGGCAAAACCCTGTATCTACAAAAAATACAAAAAAAAATTATCCAGGCGTGGTGGTACACACCTGCAGTCCTAGCTACCAGGGAGGCTAAAGTGGGAGGATTGCTTGAGCACAAGAGGTCGAGGCTGTTGTGAGCCGTGATCACACCACTGCACTCCAGCCTGGGCAACAGACCCAAACAGTGTCTCAAAAAAAAAAAAAAAGAAAAGAAAAAGAAAAAAAAAAAAAAAAAAGCCTGTCTACTGTACTTCTGGAGAACCTGCCTAAATAGAAACTAAAAGCCTTAGGAATTAGCCACCATGATGGTTACTTTTAGGTGTTGACTTGACTGGATTAAAGAATACCTAGAAACCTGGTAAAGCATTATTTTTGGGTGTGTCTCTGAGGGTATTTCCAGAGGAGACTATCATGTAATTCTGAGTGGACTAGATGGGAAAGATCTGCCCTCAATGTGGGCAGGTATCATCCAAACTGCTGGGGGCCCAGAGAGAACAAACACATGAAAAAGTTGAATGTGTCCATCTGTCTCCTGGAGCTTGGATACACTCTTCTGTTCCTGACCTTAGATAACAGCTACAGGCTTCTCAGCCTTTGGACCTAGGAAGTTACACCAGCACCTCTCTGGGTTCTCAGGCATTTGGCCTCAGACTGAGAGTTATACCATCAGCTTTCCTGGTTCTGAGGCCTTTGTACTTGGACTGTCCCATACTACCAGTATCTCAGGGTCTCCAGCTTGCAGATAGCCTATCAGGGGACTTCTCAGCCTCTATAATCGTGTTAGCAATTTCCACTAATAAATCCCCTGTCATCCATCTCTCTATCTATATACCTTATTGGTTCTGCGTCTGGAGAACCCTGACCAATACAGCTATTTAGGGGCTTAATCAATAGACTAAAATAGGTCAAAGAGCACCTGGCAGAGGAAGAGCATTTTGGCGACTTACAAAACCAACACATCTTAGTCTGCCTACTAGGCTCACCTAAACCAAGTGCAATCAGTCCTGTGATAATAGTAAAATGCATGGAGATTAGTGCCATGTGGAAATAGGGATTCATAAATGAGTTCTTTTCTTCATTGAGAACTTCCCAACCCCCAACTACCCAAAGTGGCTTTAAATACAAATTAATTCAATTTTCAATAACAGATTTATTTTCAAAAAAGGAAATGGGAGAACTTTTGGAAAGGAAACATTCAATCAAGTACTGTCAGTATTTAATTGGTTGGCTGGTAGAAATAAAGGCTGCTGTAGCCTGCATCTTGTAAGATGCTCACCCCACATAATTGTGGGTGCCGAGTTGAGTTCTCCTCCTATGTAAACAAACTCTGAGTACCAGGCAGCCATCCTGCAAAACCTGGGTAAAATATGAGCATTGCTAAGGTCCCTGGAGGTCGCAGTGTGTCACAGGGATGTGCAGATTATCTATTAAGGTATACATATATCTATTAAGGTATACAATGCATCCCCCACGGGCACTGATGACATTGCTGATGCTGATTTTCTTCCACAGAGTCAAGCACCAGGTCTCTGGAGCAAGCCCCTGTTAAGTATCAGCAGACTTGCTGATAAGACAGATAGGCCTGTTGAGACCTTGTGTGATGAGTAGAACCAGTGTACATCAGTTTGGGGTGGTCCATTTCCCTGTCCTTAGAAGTACCATGGATGGGTAGAATCAAGAACAGAAAAACTAGGAGAAACATGAATAGAGAAGTCACCACCAACGACCCTCTGCATCTCGCCCCACCACTAAGAATAAGGATGAGACTAACGTAGTTGTTTTGTTAGTCAAATCCCCCATGTATGGCAGCATCCTCCTCCTATTTCCATAAAAAGCAGAAACCTGCTTCTGGTTTACTCTAACAGAGCAGAGATAATCCTCTTCCTTCTGTAATTGCTGTAATCTGGAAGTCAATATCTTTTTTTTTTTTTTTTTTGAAATGGAGTCTCACTCTGTCTCCCAGGCTGGAGTGCAGTGGCGTGATCTCAGCTCACTGCAACCTCCACCTCCTAGGTTCAAGCAATTCTTCTGCCTCAGCCTTCCGAGTAACTGGGATTACAGGTGCGTGCCACCACACACAGCTGACTTTTGTGTATTTTTAATAGAGATGGGGTTTTGCCATGTTGGCCAGGCTGGTCTTCAACTCCTGGCCTCAAGTGATATACTCACATCGGCCTCCCAAAGTGCTGGGATTACAGGTGTGAGCCACTGCGCCTGGCTGGAAGTCAATATCCTAACCTTGGTGTTTTGTTTTATTTATAAAAGTGTTCCAGCAATACAGACAAAGACCTCTCCTGAGAGTGCCTAAATAAGTGGTTTTCAAGAGAGAGAGCAATTCAGTCCCCTAAAAACATTTGGCAATGTCTGGAGACATTTTTGGATGGCAAAACTGGGGGAGTGCTAGTGACATCTAGTGGATAAAGGCCAGGGATGCTGCTAAACATCCTACAATGCACAGGATGGGCTCCCACAAGAAAGGACCATCCTGTCCCAAATGATAATAGGGCCAAAGTTGAGAAACCCTGGTCTAAAGGTTAAAGGTGCAGGCAAGCTCCTTTTTGCTTTCTATTTCTTCATATAATGCAGTACTCTCATCTCTGGGGAGATCTGAACCCAATGTTTTGTTTTTTTCCTTAGTATAAAACAACTTGTGAAGAACAAGAACTTAGTTTAAAGAACAAGAAGTTTCTGTTTCAGAAATCTAAAATGGAAAATGCACATGAACTGGCATATCTGAAAGAGAATCAGGCCTATACTGTCATAATCTAATTAGAATGCAAATTCCTGTGGGCAGGAGCCACATCTTCCTCCTTCTTTGTTGCCCTGTGGTATCTTATTAAACATATGCACTTCTGAAAAACATCCTATTAGGCCAGGCGCGGTGGCTCATGTCTGTAATCCCAGCACCGAGGTGAGTGGATCATGAGGTCAGGAGATTGAGACCATGCTGGCTAACACCGTGAAACCCCATCTCCACTAAAAATACAAAAAATTGGCCAGGCGTGATGGCACGCGCTTGTAGTCCCAGCTACTCGGGAGGCTGAGGCAGGAGAATCCCTTGAACCTGGGAGGCAGAGTTTGCAGTGAACCAAGATCACACCACTGCACTCCAGCCTGGGCAACAGAACAAGACTCCGTCTCAAAAAAAAAAAAAAAAAAGAAAAGAAAAAAGAAAAACATCCTATTAGGTACTATGTTCATGATCTGGGTGACAGGATCAGTAGAAGCCCAAACCTCAGCACCATGCACTATGCCCTTGTAAGAAATCTGCATATATAACCCCTGAATGTAAAATAAAAACGGAAATTAAAAAAATAAAATGGAAATTTTAAAAAAGAAAGAAATCAACAATTTGCAAAAGCAATCATGGCAACTATGCAACAGCCAACATCATAAAATATACAACCTTAAGGTCTAAAAATGTTTAGTAATTTTATCCAATAAAATATCATATACCATATTTTTCATCTTAGAGGGAAAGATGATCTTACATTTCTGTTACATTTGGTTCTGTTATATCCGCCCAAACACTTGGATTCATATTCATCTAAACACCTCTTTTAAAAGCAAAAATAAAAAATAAAATAAACATATGTCGTGTAATGTATCCAACTGCCATTGTGGGGAAAAAAGCTCAAATTTAAATGATTTGAAAGGATTAAAACGATCTGAAAAATGATTCAAATTGTGTTAATTTTTAAACTTCTTGAAAGGCCCTGATTCTGTTTTTAATGATTCCTGACACAGAGACTACACACCTGCCCCTCTGAGACACCCAGACTATGGCTGATAATTTGAGAATCCACACTCTTCAAAGCCATTCAATGGGGGTCTCCTATGAAAAATAGGGAAGAACTGGAGTGATCAGGTCCCTAAGACGATGCCTTGGTCACCCTTAATTGTTCCCCATCTTATTCATGAAATGGGAAGTATCAACACTCACATCCATACCAATACCAGCCCAAGAAAACTGGGCCTATTCCTTCAATTGCTCTTTAATGACCATAATGCCATGATCAATTTATACCCTTCAGTTTACAAGTTCAGCCTCCAGAAGATTTTCTTTCATCCTACCCACCTCTTCCTTTATTAAACTAGACCATCTAGGTTAGACCATCCAACCACTGCGGGGAGAGGCGGTCCTTGGTCTCTATCCCCCTATTGAAGCCAACTTTTTGCCAAGGGCTTGTTTCACTCAAAATAAACTAACACATTTGTTCTCTCCTCCTCTGCTCCTTTTCCTTCATTTAAGCAAAAACCAGATCAAAACAATTTACTGGTAGTTGCTCATATTTTACCTCAAAAATAAGAAGATGATTAAGTGGTCTAACAGAAGCTTCGTTTTCAGGTTCTTCTTATATAGGGAAAATGAAATAGAGATAGTGATTGTACCAATCGTGATTTACATTAACAAAGGCATGCTGTCATTAAGAAGGTGTCAATAATTTGTGGCTGATGGGCAACAAAAGCCCTGCGGAAGATTCCATGTTGAGGATGTGCTTGATTTTAGTTCTTGTTTATATGCATAGTCCTAGGTTTGATTTATGTTGTGCTTTAGCACTGTCTTAGTCCATTCAGGCTGATATGACAGAAAGACTAGGTGGCTTATAAATAAGAGAACTTTATTTCTCACAGTTCTGGAGTCTGGGAAGTCCAAGATCAAGGCACCAGCAGACTGGGTGTCTGGCAAGAGCCTGCTTTCTTGTTCATAGACAGCCTCCTTGCTTTCTTCATATGGTAGAAGGTATGAGGGAGCTCTCTGGGGTCACTTTTATATTAGGAACTAATCCTATTTATGAGAGCTCTACCCTCATGATCTAATCACCCCCCCCCCAAAGCCCTACCTCTTAATACCATCACCTTGGGGTTTAGGATTTCAACATACAAATGTTAGGGGGTCATGAACATTCAGTTCACTGCAGCCACCTATTTCCCCAGCTTTGGCATTGTCCTT